ATCTGAATCGTGATCCTATTACAACAGGGATGCTGCAACAGCTGCAACTACAAGGACCCATTGTAAGTACCCCTCGTCCAGCACTGTTGTAACTTCGACCAGTCACTGAGCGAGTGGATGTTAAATGAGGACTGCCTGTATTTTGTCTTGGTTCTGCTCCTTGTCAGATACTTGTCAGGCTGGGTCAAAGAGGCGATGTTGGTAGGCTGCTGTTAGCACATGGGCCACTGATCTCCAGTGTCCCACAGTCCGTCCTGTTCAGCACCTTCATGAAACCGCTGCACAGAGGAGCCTGCTGATGACGGGCAGTTCTCCTGCTCCTTGCTATCCATTCAGCAATCAGTACCTTCAGCGTTGCCTTCTTAATAATGGGTTGGATGAAGGAGGACAAACTGAGATTAAATCCAGCCAATACTGATGCACTGTTAAACAGAAAATTGGACCCAGGGACTGAAGTATGGCTTATTTTAAAAGAAGTTACACTTCCCCTAAAAGAGCAGGTTTGTAGTTTGGGAATGCTTTTTTATTCTTAGCTGTCATGGATTCCCAGTTGTCAACTCTGGGAAGTAGTGCTTTTTGAATTAAGGTATTTTTTTCTCTGACATTGCTTTTATTCCACTAAATATTTATTAAATATTAGCTAAATTTAGCAAATTCCCCATAATAGTACTGGATAGAGAGAGGGGCATTGCATCCTGCATACACACACTAATGCTGTATTAGAAATAAAAGTAATATGACAGTTTGATATCCCTTTTGCTAGCGAGGCCCCAGTGAATTAGATGTTTATCATACGTATACAGGTACAATAAAATATTTTTGTCCCAGAATTTCCACTTGATGGAGTGAGAATTTATGATTGCCAGCAGTTAGATTGCAGACTACTGATAAGGAGTTTTCCTGCAGTGACTGCACTTGCTTAGGAGATGTCACTTCTGTGCACATTTATGCACATACATATAAACTCCATCAGTTAAAAATCCAGCATCTGGAAGAGCAAGTTGAATAATATTAAACTTGCTGAATGAATATTCCTGAATGAACTGGTGATTTTTAAGAAGTGGTTAAAATATTTAATACATAGTCATATATACATATATCAGGTTGGGGTTCAGTTGAGGGAAAGTTGTTTTTTTTTTTTTTAAATACTTCCAAAATCCAGCAATGACTACTATAAAACCAGCTTCTGGTCTCTTCCAAGTGCATTCAAACCGTTACTACTTGTTTCTACCTGAACTAATATAGCTGCTTGTGGTTCCCATGGTGACTGGCAGCAGCACTAGATAATGGCATGTTCTGTTACAACTGCACACAAAAAACAGGCTGCTACCCTGGTATTTTTGGCTTGCACTCTGCAGTAATGCTGGATGGATATACTTTGTATATTGGATACACTGCTCTAGTGCAGTGGGAAGATTCACTTTGCAGGGAGACATTTTCTATGTTGCATGCTTCAACAGTTACGCAAAATACCCTGGGTTTTAGCCTTACAATAATTAGTAATGCAGTTTTGGATGACTTTATCTGCCAAGTTCTAGTTCTCCAGAAACATATTTTTGTGACAGCTTACTTCATCAAATGAATCATTGAGATAAAAACATTTATGCACACACTTAAAGTGTTCATGTGCGGGATGTGTGATATGATCCTTAAGTTAATTTAGATAAAGTAGAGCAACTCACTGGATGTATCTGATCTTTGCAATGTTTGAATGCTGTCTTTAATATCTACTAGCTATCTAAAATTTCACTGTTAGAAAAAATGAACAGTGAGGGGAACCTGTACCCAGATTAGTCTTCCCTTTTATCTTCAGCTCCTTTGCAGTGTTGCCATTTCATGTTACTTTTGCCCTCTGCTCTTTCAGTTGCATTGTTTTGTTCCCATACAAATCTTAGCCATGATTTAAAATTACAGCAGTGCTCTCAGGCAGTAAAAAAGTTTCACATTTTTTGGTGAACAGAATGTGATGCCTTTGCACTTGAATTTATGACTGAGTAATCAGTATCCCAAATATATGGACCAGCTTAAGTAATGAACTTAAACTCTGCTTGCACTGGTGGCTGTTCTGCTTCCTGAGAATTCTCCCTTGCTACTAATTGCCCTTTTTTAAAAAAATTGTGTACCACATACTTACTGTATTGGACTGTAAATGAATAAAACCGTTTCTGATGAAAGCTAAATACAGGTAGTCCTCGACTTATGACCATTCATTGAATGACGGTTCAAAGTTACGATGGTACTGGAAAAAGTGACCAACCACCGGTCCTCACACTTACAAGAGTCACAGCGTCCCTATGGTCATATGATCAAAATTTGGGTGCTTGGCAACCAGCATGTATTTATGATAGTTGCAGCATGATTGCCATTTGCAACCTTCCCAGGGGGCTTCTGACAAGCAAAGTCAATGAGGGAAGCCAAATTCGTTTAGCGACCATGTGATTCACTTAACAGCTGCAGCAAAGGTCATAAAATTGGGTGCAATTCACTTAATGACCGCATTGCTTAGCAACGGAAGTTCCAGTCCCAATTGTGGTCATAAGTCAAGGACTACCTCTGACTTCCTTAAGGAAGTTTTGCCCTTTCCCACCAAATCTTCTGTATTCTACAGCAACATTCTTCTTCCACACTGCTATCATTTTTTCTCCTCAAAGGCAGGATCCTCCTTAAGAGAGATTGCTAGGGAAGCCATGTATCCTGCTCTTTATGTATGGTGTGTTTCCCCACTGCATCTAGTACTCTCTACTTGAGTTAAACTTTTTATATAAAACAGAAAACCCAAACACCAACAAAAAGCAGCTATATTAAAAAAATAATAATAAATAGAAGTGCTTGTAAATCATCTATTCCTGGGTTTACAGTAACTTGCAGCCAGACTTGAAAATTAGAGAGCTATAATGATTTTTGAGTTAATGAGTTTTGGATGTTAATTGCTAAAGACAAATAGATGAACTTGGGGGGGGGAGGCTGTTAGTGTATAGGTAGCCCTGTGTTAACTATATATTGATCAGTCATTTAAAGAGGCTTGTAGGGTGCTTTGTGATTAGGAGAGCAGTAAGTATTACAGATGATGTGGAGCATATTTATGATTTTATGGAATACATTTAAATCAGCATGTTGGCTATATTCACACATGCTAAGCCATGGTTACCTTAGACATGATTCACTGAACTATAAATTAACCCTACTCTGTGGGCCACATTAACACACTAAGTTGCAGATTAGCCAATGACACTGTGGCCTATCATCACTGTTGGGGTGGCCAATTTTAATTTTTAAATAGGCATGGTAGAAGATGCATTCCTAACATCCCAGATTTTGGCAGCTGAGCTTTGAACATACAAAGTGATTGCATGCAAAGAGGTGAGACAGGATTGGAATACTTTCTTCTCTCACATTCACCCCTCCCCCAAAATTATATTAGCCTTGAAATAATGAATTTTGTTATCCATTCTCATTGAGACATTCAGTATCACTTTTTATGAGTTCTGTTTCTCAAACTTACACCTTAGAAGTTGTATCATTTCCCCCTCCCCATATTGAGTGTAAAGGAAAAGGGAAACGACTATTGTTACAGTTGCTTGTCAATAACTGAGTTGTAGAGCATCGATACCCAATTTTTAGTACAATTCTATTTACTGATCATTTTTATTCACAAATATGAAATCAGAATCCACTTTATTTGTAAGTTTCTAACTCTGTAATCAAGCTTGCATGGATATATAGCTGAGATAGGCTGATTCTATTAGAAAGAACGTGATTTCACAAAATTCCAGCAGTACCGTTTGTTCTTAATAAAATCACTTGTTAAATGAATGGATAGGTCTCCTGGTGTTTTTTGTTTTTGTTTTAAAAACCGTTTATTTAAAAGGCTGATTGGAACAAATTCCTCTCCGGGTTCACTGGGGCTTCGGCAAGGTATTAAAAGGGAAGTATTGTAGGCGAGTTCCCACACGCGTTACAATCCTGAGAAGGATTTCTTGAGCTGACAGCTTGAGATTTCGTCCCCCTTGTTTCCTATGGGGAGGCAAAATCAGGTTCATCGTATCCAGGCCGTCTTGAAGCATGTTTGACACACTCCCTTAACTCATCTTTTGCATTGAAGCTCCCGAAAATTATGTTGTCATAGTGTGTGTACAGATTTAGGGGGAGAGTGACTTAAGCAAAGGAGTTTGCCATCTGCTTCTCCCTTTCCCCTGGTGTGACATGAAACGCATCTTGAACATCCCATCGTTTCCCCATCCCAGCTTTGGATATAGAAAGTGAATTGTATGCTAAGGGGTGAAACAGGTTTGGGGCGCTTCGAGGTCTCCCGCCCCCTTCCCCCCAAATTCTGTGGCGGTGATCTGTCGCTGCTTGACACCGCGGTCGGGGGGTGTTTTAAAAGAGAGGCACATATTCTGATTTTTTTGTCTTAATTTCAACCAGTCAAGCAACAGCCCCTCCATTCAGCTCCAAGGCAGACTGCAGGCAGAGGCTTCTTCAAAGGAGCTGAGCGATTGATACCTCCACAAGCATTGGGAGCGGAGAAATGGAGGAAGCGTCGCAACAAATTGAAACTAAAGTATATTTATATATATTTCCCTAGATTCGACTCCGCCCTCTTAAAGGAGAAAGGCGTCGAAGGGATGGGCCACTCGGTCATCACGTGCGCAGGCGCCGCGAGCGGGAGTCTTTCCTAAAAGCAACAGCCTCCAGCGCGTGCAGGCTGTTAGGCCTACGTCACCGCGCTGACGTAAAGAAGACATTCTCTGGTGGGCTCCGCGTAACTGAGCTAAAACAAAGGAAGGAGTCCTCCGGTTGCTGGGGGGTGGGGGGCGGAGAGGAGGTGGAGCCGGAGGGCTCGCAGGCGATCAGGCTGGCTTGGCAACGGCGATTGGTAAGCTAGGAAGTCAATAGGCGTGACGTCACTGTTCCGCTGCCGGCTGAGTGGTAGGTGGAGGGCTTCCTTAGGGAGGGGGTGGGACCAGAGCATCATGGAGAGCGGCGGAGGTGGTGGGTTCTGGATGTTGGCGGCAACCGGGCAGGGGAAAGGCTCTGAGAACGTTGGTGGCGACGCGGTCGGGCGCTCATTGAGGGAGGCGGCGCGGTCGGGTTCTTTCTTGTGATGGGCGGATGGAGTCGCACTGATTATCCGGGAAGCCATTGCGGAGGGTGGTGTGGCAGACCCGGGCCTACTGGTGCAAGCGGTGGCAGCCGCCCCCGAACACAAGGAGACCCCCCGCAGCTCCCGTAAGGTACCGGCGCCTGGGTGGGGAAGGGGAGATCGGGGTTTGGTTTCTCGCGCCCCTTCCCCCGCCCCTCTTCCTTCCCCGCCGATGACAAATTGCCTCCAGAGCTGACAGGAAGGGAGGAGGGTCTCGTCTAGGAGGAGCTCCTCGCACCGCCCTGAGCGAAGCGTTCTCGCCCTGTGGGGTGCTGGGGTGCCTCAGAGGGTGCTAACGTTTGTTATTGTTTGGTGAGGGAAGTAATTAAATGCAGGCTGCAGACGACCATTACGGAACCTGTTAAAAGAGATGATCCCAGAAGGGTTGTGGAGGCGGTGTGGGCACGCATTGACACCCTCCACCCCGCCTTTTGAATGGCTGTAGGAATGTGCTGGGAGGCCTGTCCTTTGTGTCTCCCACCCTGCCTCAGCATCCCTTAATTCTCTGTTTCTTGGTGGAGGGGGGCAGTGCTGTATTTTCATGGGGCTGGAGAGGAGAAAGGCAGGTTCCTAACCAGTAGAACCTAAAACTAAAATGTTGATGGTGAAGAAAGAGGAGGGTGTCAAGAAAGACCATAACAACTAACTGAAACATCCATCATTGTACCACCTTCCCCCTTCAACACTTATTTACCATCAATTGTATGTAGCTACTGGTGTTGCTAAATATAACATGTACAAAGGGGACAGGAAACAGCACAGTGACTACTTTAAAAAAAAAGCTGACATGGGATAGTTCATTGAATCACACTTTCTAATGTTTGAGAGTTTGCTGTCTGTGATCTTATGTTCCATTTTTCCACATTAGTGCTTGTCTGTTCTAAAAGGATATGTTTGAAGAAAAGCGTGTGATATTTTGGTGCTTCCAAGCCATTCTCTTTCCATCCCTCAGGTTGAGGTTGCTATTGAATACTGTCCAAAAAACAACAACAGTGACCCATATGTAATATTGGGGGATTAATACACTACAGTACTTATATATTTGCTAATTTACAGCCCTGCCTTTTTAGTAGCAGTTTTAGTCAAGGTGCAAAAAGCATTTATATGTTGTTCTTCTGAAATAGGTGGAGTGGACAGAGAGAAAACATTGGAGGGGAGAGGAAAAAGTATTCAGTGAAGAATGAAAAGAAAGGTTGGTGTGACAGGAGTGTAAGGAATTGTATGATGGTGTCTACATGGATTATGGAAAAGCTATACAATTTCTTTAATTGCATACTTACCAGTTTTCCTGAAGACACATTGCATACTTATATAAATATTTATATAAAAGCTAAGTTACTTTTGAAAAGCTAGTCATGACTAGGTTAGATAGCACCCCATGTAGGTCAGATCTCAAGGATTTGCATTTGAAACCACTATCTTGTCTGTGTATTTTCACATTTGATATAAATTGTGCTTTTTATCATTTTCATTGACTAATGACAAATGTTCATGATATATATTCTCTCAATTATATATACTGCAATGCCTGTTTTTCAAAATGTTCTGAAGCGTGTCTGTCATATGATTCCAGAATGTGTTGTGGGTGCTTTCACAAAATGGATGCTGGGGAAATTGGTCCATTCACAAAATGGCTGTAATGGAGACATAATTAGTTCCCTCTTCCCCTCCTCCCTAAAAATCAGTTGCAGATCCCCTGTAGCCTCTTTAATCTATTATTTCTACTTTGGGGCAATCCAAAGTATTTTCTAAGACAGCTTGTGCTGCCATTTTAGGAGGTAATATTTCCTTTGCAGTATGACAACTAC